TAGAGAGTTAGAAACATCGATGAGAGAGAAACATCGATCAGCCACCTCCTGCACATCCCCCACTGGGAATGTGCCCGCAACCCAGGTACATGCCCCTGACCAGAATCGAACCTGGGACCTTTCAGTCTGCAGGCCGACGCTCTATCCACTGAGCCAAATCGATTTCGGCTAAATCATCTTTTGACACCCTTACCGCCAGCACATATATGTTTAATTTATGTGAGCTAGATGGAGCTTTGTGCCCCCACAATCATTCACTCCATATACTGATCCCAGCTACTCTGCAGACATTCAGCCGCTTCCAGATAACAAGTAGATGAAGTGAAGCCTCTTATTTCATACAGTGCCGTGGTCAGTGTGAGGGTCTTGGAGCCAGACACAGGTTTGAATCCTGCTTCATCCACTTAGTAACTGTGTAACCTTGTAGCAATGTTAAAAGAGAAAGATGTTTACAACCTATAAAGGGCTGTTTGTGAAAAAAAAAAAAAAAGAGAGAACTGCTATTGGGGCATGAAATAACAGCTGGAAAAGTTTATGATTCAAATGCTTAACTATGCAAATATGAAATGCTTAAATATACATTTTATAAACGTGGTAGGTGGGTGAGTTCTCAGCGGAGCTCATGGTCTCACTAGAGAAGCCAGCAGCCTGCTGACCCTCTCAGGCCCCTCCTATTGAGAAAGACCAAGCAGCCAAGAACAGGGATCTGTGGTTAAATGTTAACTTGTGTTTATTCTTCTACAACTGCCCCATGTTTAATTTGGCCAACCCAGTGAAGATTCTTTCGTAAGCCTGTGTGTAGTTTCTAAACACCAGACCTACGACCTTTACACACATGCTAAACATTTAGAGACTGGGAGAGCTCTCTTTTTCCTCCATCAGCAAACTGAATAAATACCAACATCCTCCTCTCCCCTCCAGAAAGTATTCTTTGATCTCCGCTAAAGATAAACTGGTAATAAATCATCCTGATCAGCTAAGGGTTGCAAAGCAGATTCTTTGATAAGCCAATTAACTGCAGAGGGCACTGGGGCTTGCTTCCTCCTGGTGCTGACTTAGATTCTTAAAGCCATAGAATTTTAGAGCTGGGAAGAGACCTTATAAGGTTATCTCATCAAACTGTTTGATTTTAATGAATAAGAAAACTGTGAGCTCAGGGGAAGAAAAAAGCAGTTTAGAATCATGTACAGATGTTAATAAAGATCTGTAATGGAAATGTTTTGTCAAACAATTCCTACAGCATTTTAAACTTTGTGAGGTATTACTTCTTATGTCCTTTATAACCTGGTGATCCAAGTACAGTGTTTGGGCCTGGAATTGGAAATCTGTATACGCTAAGACTCAGCTTTGGGCTGATGTCAGAAATATCTGAGAATCACTGCTGCCCCCTGCTGGAAATTTAAAATATCACAGGCTCTCAAGCTTCTATAGAATTTTTTTTAACAGCCCAAAAAGTTACAAAAGTAATAATTCCTTAGGATAAAAGGTTTGAACAGCATGAAAGAGAGTAAAGAGAAAAGCAAAAATTTCCCCTCTTCAATCAGACTTCCCCAAAATTAGCTATTTTTAATTTTTTTCTGTTTCTTTTTTTTTTAAATATATTTTATTGATTTTTTACAGAGAGGAAGGGAGAGAGATAGCGAGTCAGACACATCGATGAGAGAGAAACATCGATCAGCCGCCTCCTGCACATCCCCGACTGGGGATGCGCCCGCAAGCCAGGTACATGCCATTGACCGGAATCAAACCTGGGACCCCTCAGTCCGCAGGCCGACGCTCTATCCACTGAGCCAAACCGGTTTCGGCTTCTGTTTCTTTTATACTTCATTACTTTCGCCTCCTATTTGAAATTCCTTCCTTCTACTATTTTTATATTCACTCTGTTCTCTTGCTAACTTGAGTGCTTTACTCATTTGTTTTCAAAATTTCTTCAAAACTGCATTTAAGCCTACAAAATGTGCGTTTAATGTCTGTTTTTGCTGCATCCCACACCTTTAAAAAATATGTATTTTTTTTATTTCAAAGAGAAGGTAGAGGGAGAGAGAGAGAGAGGATCATCAATGATGAGAGAGAATCATCGATTGGCTGCCCTCCATTGGGGATCAACTGGCTGCCCTGAATATCTTTGTACCTATATTTTTGGGCATAGGATAAAATCTAGGAAGAAGTTTAGGTGCAAATGCATGTGATTTTAAGTTTTGATAAATACTGCCAAATTGGTACTTTCCATATATTTAGTAATTCTATCATTCCCATATCTGCCTGGGTATCAAAACCAGAATCTCCCAGAGAGTTAATTTAAAATAGCTCCCTTCTGCACATCTCTTCTCTGTTCTGATTCAGTGGGGGAGAATCTGCACCCCATCAGGACTGAGAATGGCTACATAAGCTACGCATTTCTTGCTACACTGCAGCAGATGGAAATGCGCTCCCACATCCTAATCTTAATGTGGTTACTCAGTTCTTATTCACCTGATGCTTATCCAGTGCCCACTGTGTGTGCAAGACCCTATGCTCTCTCCTCCAGAGGCAAGATTGTACAGATGGTGTGGTTATAGATCTCACCACGCCCATGGGTGGTGGTGCTGGGGGCCTGTGGGTGTGTTGGCCTGTGGCTGGGGTTTGGGGAGGGAGCAGTGTGTGGGTGAAACTCAGGAATCCTGCAGCACTACAGTTGGCAGGAATTTTAAAAAGACCCAGCCCTGACCTCCATGACATGAGCATGTGTTTAACAAATAAGGAGCCAGCACAATTGGAGGTCTCCTCAGGCAACTGCTACCAAGGGTTACCACAAGTCAGCACGTCCTTTCCCACTGGGCCCTTCTAATTCAGATGAAATATAATATAACTAAAACATACGTGGGAAATGTGCCATCAGCAGCCAACAGATCAGAGTCATAAAAAAAGAAAAAAAGGAGAGGCTGGGAGCTTCTGCCACCAGGGGGCTTGGCCAGCCTGAAAACGGCCCTCAGCCCCTCACCCAGACTGGCCAGGCACCCCAGTGGGGACCCCCCACCCTAAAGGGGATGTGGCCAGCCTGCAAACACCCATCAGCCCCTCACCCAGGCTGGCCAGGCACCCCAGCAGGCCCCCCACTCTGATCTGGGACACCCTTCAGGGCAAACCAGCTCGCCCACCATTCTTGCACCAGGCCTCT